TTGGGTTGGCTTAAAGTCCACTTGGTGCAGAAAGGCCGAAACAACTGCGGGCGTGCATTCTTGACCTTTGGGCACCTTTTATGAAATTTCAATTTTAAAAATATAATACTACATTCTTTTTAAATTATAAAAAAATTTGAGATAAGTTTATACTTATTAATAAAATTTAATAATAATACTTTATAAATTTATTTTTTCAAAACCTTCATTTAATATAATTTTAAATTTATATTTATTTCAATTTTTTCTCCAATTGAAGGATAATATTAAAGAAAGTATTATTAATAAAATATTTTTTAAAATTATTTTATATTTTTGGGACAATAAAATACTAGTACCTTCAATGTTTTTTTAAAATTTGGGATAGAGGGAGCATGAAATTATTTGCTCATGAAATAAAACTCACTAGTCTTCTAACTTTAGAAAGTTTTAGTAACAAGAAGTTATTCGTTAATTAACAAGTTTAAAAATCTAAAAGAATTTAGTTGTGGGATGAAACAACTGTATATCATGTTTAACAAAATAATCAATTTGTTAATTAAGTACCTATTTGTATTTAACAACAAGTCATTTGTTAATTAACAAATTCATATAATCTGAAAGAACTTGGTTGTGAGAAGGAATAAGTGTGTATCATATTTCAACAAATAGCTATTCATCAATTAATAAGTATTCATTCACATTTAATGAGAAATCATTCGCTAATTAAAAAATTCAAGAATTTGAAAAAACTTCATTGTGGGAAGGACATAGTTAGAATCTTACCTGTTATTGCATTGGCTCCATACATATGACATATTAGCAGAAAATGACAAAGTTAACAGGCAACTCAAAAAAATGATTTTGAAAAAAATTGCTCCATTTATAAGTACATGATACTTTTTTTAGCTTTTACTCAACCGTTTGATCAATTCAAAAATAAAAACTTAAAACATGGTACCCAAGCTTCTTAAAAAAAATTCAGGAGTAAAAATGAACCTGGACCCTTTATACATCATCATTACTCATATTTTTATTATAAATTTTTTCTTAAAAAATAAATATTATTTTATTTATAAGATTTTATGTAAATATTCTATGTGTAATAAATCTCCTCTAAGAAATGTTTGACTAATTTCATTCGATGAAAGATTTTTCCTAACCTCTCATTTAAAGAAGATAATCCATGTCTTGGGACTTTTATTTTTATTCACATGTAAACCATATTCTTTGATGACTATTTCATTTATTTATTTGATAATATAGAAGTTACTCTTATGTGATTTACTATATAAAGCCATGCTACTTCATCTTCTTCCTTACATACACCACACACTCCATAATTCCATAGCCATAGATCATCATGGAGATTCACATCCCGTACTCCATTCTCTTCACCTTCCTTTGCTTCGTCTTCTTCATGTGTAGACTTTCAACTTCAAAGAAATCTCTCAAAACCCTGCCCCCAGGACCATGGAAGCTACCTCTCTTAGGAAACCTTCACCAAATTGGGTCACTACCACATCGATCTCTTAGAGACCTCGCAAACAAGTATGGACCCTTGATGCATCTTCAGCTAGGACACATGCCCCACGTCATAGTCTCTTCATCAGAAGTAGCCAAGGAGGTTATGAAAACCCAAGACATCGTCTTTGCTAATAGACCCAAAATTATTGCTAGCGAAACCTTGGCTTATAATAGTACAGACATAGTCTTCTCTCCTCATGGAAACTATTGGAGGCAACTTCGAAAGATTTGTACTTTGGAGCTTTTGTCTATAAAGAGGGTTCGAGCATTTAGAAGAATAAGGGAAGAGGAGGTTTCAGCGCTAGTGAAGCATATTTCTAAACTTGCTGAATTAGGTTCTATGTGAACCTCACAAAGAAAATCTACCCTCTCACGAATTCCATAGTTGCTCGAGCAGCCTTTGGTCGGAAGACTAGGAATGTAGAAGAAATTTTATCGACTATGGTGTATGTGGTTCAACTAGCGAGTGGCTTATCAATCTCTGATCTCTATCCTTCTCTTGAGTTCCTTCGTGTGATCAATAGGACAAAAGCTAAAGTTGAAAAAGTGAGTAAAGACATTGATAGGATGCTTAGTAATATCATCAACGATCACTTAGAAAAAAAGGTTAGTTGTATGGAAGAAGTAGAGGAGGATCTCATTGATGTTCTTCTCAGGATTCAAAAAGACAATAATAATGACCTAGAAATCCCATTAACTCTCGACAATATCAAAGCAGTCATCTTGGTAATTAAGTCTTTGTTTAATTTAATTATGATTTTTCATATCTTTGATTACAACTGTTGACTATCTACTAATCATATTAATTATTTCAGGACCTGTTTGTTGGTGGGACTGAATCAACAGCGACGACTATAGTGTGGGCCATGGCTGAGATGATGAAAAACCCAAAAGTAATGAAGAAGGCACAAGAAGAAGTAAGAAGGGTCTATGGAAACAAAGGACATGTTGATGAGTCAGAACTTCATCAATTAAATTATATAACTGCAATGATTAGAGAAACTTTAAGGTTACACCCACCTGCTGTTTTCTTAGTCCCAAGAGAAAATCGTGAAGCATGTGAAATTAATGGCTACATGATACCTCTTAAGACTAGGGTGATTATCAATGCTTGGGCTATTGGAAGGCATCCCCAGTATTGGAATGAACCTGAGATTTTTCAACCAAGAAGGTTTATTGGTAGCCCAATTGATTACAGAGGCACCAACTTTGAGTTTATTCCATTTGGTGCTGGAAGGAGAATATGCCCAGGAATCTCATTTGCTGCACCAGTTCTAGAACTGATTGTTGCAAATCTACTTCATCATTTTGATTGGAAACTTCCTAATGGGGAAAAGAATGAAGAATTGGATATGACTGAGACCTTTGGGGCTGCAGTGACAAGAAAAAATGACCTGTGTTTGGTTCCCATTCCATATTGCCCTTAATTAGCTTGAGTCATGATTTGATTAGCACTGCATCAATCTATATATGCGTATGTTAATCAATAATTGAGAGGTTATATCGACTCTCTTGGTAGCTATATATTTTCTGAAATAGTGATGGCTAGAAATGAAAGGATTCATGTTATCAATATATATATAATGGAATGATCCAGTAGACGATAGTGTACTCGATGTATTTTCCTATGTTTTGTTGGATAATGTTAAGTATCTATGTATATGACTTTTTTTTATTTACATCTTTCTGTCATGTTCTTATTAATTAATATTATATATTGACACTATTTTTATGCTTTGCTCACATAGAGTTCCATCTGTAGAAGAATTTGAAAGTACACACTATAACTAGGTGCTTTGCTCATTGTTTAATTCAATCAACCTTATACAGCTAAATTAATGCAGAAGAGAATCATGGAAAAAAAACACACACACACACACACACACACACACACACACACACACAGAGAGAGAGAGAGAGAGAGAGAGAGCGCCATGATTCAATTTGCACACATCTATCATGAGATGGAATTAATCAAAAGGATATGTCATTTGCATTATGAGATAAAATAAGATAAGAAGAATCATTCTACTATCTCTATTTCTCATTCTTTTCCTATTGTGCTTTAGCCTTTATTTTTTTTTAGGAAGTATAAAGAGTAAACTTTGTCATTAACAAAGAATATTTTTTTTTAAAGAAATTTCTCAACTAAATTGAAACATACGAAAAGGTTAAGATTCAAACTTCTGAACAATTATTTTAAGTGACAACAATTTTTATCATTATCGTCACTTTAATTGATAATTTTCTTATTTCACGACAATTTAAATACTCAATAGTCAATATAAAGACTGTTCAAGTTTCCCAGTAAAAATTAAAAGTAGCAGCCAATGTGGACTTTGGATTAGCTTAGTCGGCCTAACACTTTGCAACATAGTCAAGGTGAGTGGGTATGAATAGTGATATCAATCTCACCTTTCAAATATTTTTAGATGAATTAATTAACAAAAAAGTTTATTTTATGCAACGTGTTAGAGTTCTACAATTTACACATATGCAAATATATAGCCCACATCTGATTAGGGGCCACATTATTCTAAAGCTCACATGGAGTCCAACTTTAGTGCTCATCACACTAATTAATACTATAATATTATATCAATATGACGAGATTTGAATTATATTTGTATATATTTTTATTTTATATTTATTAAAATAAAAATTTACAAAATTATATAAACAAATTTTTTTATCATTAATCTAGTTTAAATTTAACTGGGAGTGACTAATTTAATGTTAAAATTTTTATAATTGTTAGCTATTGACTATGAAAATGTATTCTATACAGTCTAAATTTAGATTGTATAGAATACTATAGAGTACATCTGGATAGTTAATATATAACAATTATAAAAATTTTAATACTAAATTGAATCCTCAAAATTAAATTTAGACCAAATTGAAAACAAAAAATTTATTTAAAATATTTTATAATTTTTACTTTAATAAGTATAAAATAAAAATATATAATGTTACTTTAAATCTAGACCTGGTCTAAATCTCACATCACACACTAATGAGTATTGAAGATGAATCCACCTACATGGCCACATCACATGGCCGCAAGACTTAAAATAAAATTAAGATTTATAATTTTAAGATCATGTTTGGTATGTGATGGTGCTAGTATGCAAGGCTGATATGATCAACTATGTACATTATCTATGTGCTGCCTCTAAATATATATATATATATATATATATATATATTTTGAAAGTTTTAAAAATTTGCATTACATGAAAATTATCGCGACATAAGTAAAAAGGGTTTACCAGTGTAACAAGAAAATTACAATGAACACTGAACCATATTATTTATTTATTTCTTGCAATGAGTAAAGTTTTACAGCACAACTAATAACAAAAGAGGGCAGATCAAGCCACTAAATTACTTTTATTCAGCGTCGAAAATGATCAAGAGAGATCCCACCCAACCACTGAAAATAGAGACAACTACAAATTATAGAACTAGGGTTGATAAGCCACTAGGACTAGTCAAAGCTTCTCAATTCTTCTTACACTTGCAGCAAATGTCTCAAACATGTCAAATTCAACATGAGTGATTCCATTTGGTAGCTTCCAATCAAAATGATATAGCAAATTGGCAAGTGGAAGCTCAATGTTTGGTATAGCTAAATTAATTCCAGGACATATTCTCCTTCCAGCACCAAATGGTATATAATCAAAGTTTGTTCCTTTAAATTAATTAGATTATCCAAAAATCTCTGTGGCTTGAAAGTATCAGCATCATCCCAAAACTTGGGATCTCTTAGTATTGCCCAATCATTGACAATGACTTTGATCTTTTCAGGTATCTCATATCCATTGATCACACATTTCTCAATATTTTCTTGTGGAAGTAGCAGTACTCCTGGTAGGTGAAGCCTTAAAGTTTCTCTCACAATTGAGTTTAAGTATTTCAATTGGTAAATTTCACTTTCATCCACAAATCTTTTTTCTTTGTAGATCTTTCTAACCTCAGCTTTAGCCTTCTCCATCACCTTTGGGTTCTCCATCAATTCAGCCATGGCCCACTCTAGAGTAGTTGATGATGTCTGCCATTACCTTTGGGTTCTTCATCAATATAGGGTTATTTTATTCTGTTTTGGTTTTTAAAAACAAATTATATTTAATCATTGTAAATTATTGTCATCAACCTCTGCTGTCTGCCTTACCCACAGTAGTCCGCCACTTTGATCAGCAATCGTTTATTAGCAACGATTTTAGGGTTATAATAATAAAAAGATATTTTATAAAATTAAGATATCAAACTCAAACTCTAATTTATATAAAATTAGAGAACTTAATTAAGATGTACTTTTGCCAATACAATAAAATCAGTTACAATTAGATTAATACATTTTTATATAAAATAAGCAGAGCTTAATTCACTGTTTACCAAGCGAGGAATATAATAACATTCGGTACTTACCTTCGTCAAAACTTTGTCAATTGGCATCTAGAGGGAGGCCATGAGTGGATTCTCTCCTCTTCCCCTCCCATCTTCTTTAATTCTTTTTTTTTTAACCATTAAATCAGAATTTAGACGGTTGAAATTTAAACTCTTATAAAATTATCATTTAAATGTTAAATTATAAGAAAAAAATAAATAATCAAATTCAAATTACTAAAAGTTAATTTGAATAGTTTAAAACTGTAGTAAAAATAAAATAAAAAGATATATTTCATAAAAAAAATCAAATCTAAGTCATCAAAATGTGAGTAATCTTTATGGTTAGAAAAGAAAGAGGATGGAGAAGGAAGGTGAGAGCATAATCCCTCCTAGAGGATGCTAATATGCATGAATGTGCAAATTCTTTATCGAGAAGTTAGAGTCTATCAAATGGTGTGTCTTAAGTCAAACAGAAGACTATTCAATTGTTATTTAAAAAAGAAAAACTGGAAGACTATTCTATCTGTTATTAATTAACTAAATGAATGTAGAAAACAATTGGTTTAGAACATTCAAACATTAATGTTCAAATAAAAAGTCTTTGTTGCATATGCATGTTTAATTTTTATACTCCATATACTACTCGATAGTGATTGATGTGGAAGATTTGTGTGTGTGGTGTGTGTGTGTATTATTTTTTTCAATATAGAAAATTCTTACAAACTGAAACCGGTTGGTTTCCTATATATGAATGATACTACTATTTTGGATGTATCAATCCATTTGCATTCTTGCAAACGTGCAACACTCATCCGATGAACCTATTTTATATGTGTAAATAGATACTACTTGTGAGATCGTGTAAGCTATATATTTCTTATTATTTTTATGCTAAGAAAGTATTGTTTATTATAGAATATATTTGTCAAGAGTTTATTTTAAAATAATTCGTTTAGGTTGAAACTTATAACATATAATTAATTCTAAATTTTAAAAGTGAACAATTTATGGTGTCACAAATATGATCAACGGTATCTACCTTCATCAAAACTTCCATGGTGGCCGGCAACTAGAGAGATGCCAGAATAGATTTCTCTTTGTTTACGTAGGTAGAATAGAACGGTGTGTTTGAAAGTTAAATAGAAGACTTTATATTCTATTGTTATAAAAGAGGAAAAAAAAAGCGAGACTATTATATTATTAACTAAGGGAATGTAGAAAACAATTGCTTAAGAACATTCAAACAGTCATGTTAAAACTAATAAAGTCTTTGTTGCTTGTGCATGTTTAATTTTTATACTCCATATGCTACTCGATAGTGATAGATGTGGAAGATGCATTAATTTGAGAGAGCATGCAGACTACAGATGACTATTCGATTATTATTAATTAAAGGAATGCATAGAAAGCAATTTCTTTAGAACATTCAAACATTAGTGCCCAAACAAAATTAAAGTCTTTGCTGCATATGCATGTTTAATCTTTCTAATCCATATATAACTACTTGATGGTGATGGATGTGGAAGATTCATTAAATTATATCTTTATAATTTTTTCCACATAGAAAATTCTTATATATTGAAACCGGTTCATTTTCTATATACGAATACTATAATGTTTTGTATGTATCAACTCATTTGCATTCTTGCAAACATGCAAGACTCATGTGACGAACCTATTTTATATGTGTAAATAGATGTTACTCGTGAGATCATGTTTACTATATATATCTCATTATTTTTATGCTATGAAAGTATTGTTTATTATGAGATATATTTGTCAATAGTTTTATTTTAAAATTTTTCATTGAGGCTGAAAATTATACATTTAATTAATTCTACATTTTAAAAGTGAACTATTTCATGCTGATATCCATGCCCGTATTAGGATTGCGGTTATGGCTGTAATTAAATTAAAAAAAAAAAAAAGATTGCGGCTGTGGCGTTTGGCTAGGCTATTTAGATAACTGCCTTAATTATTATTAGGTTCAAAAAAATAAAATTTCTTCATCTATTGGGAACTAATAAGATTTTTAAACCATTATTTCATTGCAAGGGAGGCTTTTATGCCAGCAAAATTAGTTCATGTTCTATTGGGTCCTTAAAGCAAATATATTGGTTTTGGGAGACTGCAGCGCAATTCAATTCTCCCAAGAAAGAAAGCAAAAAGACATTCTACAGCAAATTACTACTCTTTTTTGTCCTATTTTTAAGACATATTTTAAAGATAATTTTTAATTTAAAACATAAAATATATTGTAATAATTAAATTATTTTTTAATTTTATTTTTTTAATTAGCTTGAAATTATTTAATGTAATTATATTATTATTTAAAGTTAAAGGTTAAAAAAAATATATCTCACTTTTTTATAATATAAAAAAATTAATTTTTTTAAATGAATGAAATGTAATTGAAAGTATTCCGTAATAAAATCAGGGGAGAACTTTAAATGTACTTTCTCATTCACAAAACTACCAGATTTGCCTTAAAGGTCTCATGTGAAATGAAAGTCGATTTCCGGAATTACAATGAGACTCACGGTGGGGTTAGAGAGAGCAAGAGTAGGAAAGAAAACGAACAATGATATTATATTAATATATTAAAAAACAAAAAGGAACAGCAAGCTGGAAGATGAAATGGGCTTCCAAGTATCAAACAATGCTTTCTTGAACCCTTGTCATAATTTCATAAAACATTTTAATTATCTCACCAAAATTAATAAAAAAATAATTAAATTATTACTAACTTTATCTCTCTCATAATTAATAAATTTAAATAAAAATACAATTAATGTCTCACCAAGTATCTTATATCAAGGACCATCAATTTCTTTTAGATGTTCTGTAATAAGGAGAGAAGGGAGTATTAACAATAAAAAGAGGAGGGAGAATTTCTTTATAACAAAAGGAATCCTACTAATTAATACTTTTCATGCTTATAGAAAATGGAGGGAATAGAATAAAATATACTACATATTACTCTTATAATTATAAGAATATGTAAATATTATTTCTAGTGATTATAAATGAATTTATTTTATGGTTTATATAGATATATTTTATTTAAAAATATCAAACAAATCAAAACTATTTTTGATCACAGTCCAATTATTAATCTTTAAATTAATGCCACCAAGGATAGACTGAGGGGATCAATAGGGGCATGCCCCCCTAATTTTTAATATTATATATTTTTGGCTTTTTCAAAATTTATGTAAATTTTATTCATCAAAAAAAATATGAAAAACTTTATAACATATATAATCTCTTTATTCTTAAATCCTTGGCTCTGCTTGTGCCACGTTGGTTATGATTTTTTAAAACCTTGGAAAAGTCAACATTCGAAGCACGTGAGACAGATTGTAGCCCTTAATTAGTGCTCAGAGTCTGACTTTCCACAAACAAGTATTGGACTTGGGACCACCCTTTTCACGAATGAGCGACACGGCCGGGAACATACATAATAGATTATACATTATTTTTTAAAACTTTTACACATATAATCCATATTATAAAATTAAATAAAAAAATAATCTATCTTTTTTAGATTTTAAAAATAATATTTTTAATATTTACTTTATAATTAAATTATAAAACTGTTCTTTTAATATTTTTTTGTAAATATTAAAAGATCCAAAACGTAAGAAATTTTTAGATTTGAACGCAATAGATGCGAGATATATAGTTTAAAATGGCTTTTTTTAGAGATGAATGTGAGAGAGAAGATGAAACTAGATGCGAGAGAGGCGAAAGCAAGACAACAAAGCAGTGTGAGCGAGCTACAATTACGATCGTGAGAGACAAACACAAAGCGAGATATATTGACAATATTCTATGGAATGGAGCACGTAGCACGTCAATGGAGCATAGAGCTACATATTTATAATTTTTTATTTATTAATTTAGGTATTTGACTCTCTATGATAAAGTAAGAGTTCAAAAATTTTTATGAACTATGTTTGATCTGTTTTGAGCAAATGATTATGCATTTTTAATGTTATTGATTCATCGTTGATATACAGTTGTATATCACTGATATACTATAATAGATCAACATAATTAAACAATTCAGACATAAACTTGTTTATCATTAATATACAAAAGTATATCAATGATGTAATATTGCAGATTAACAATACAAAAAATATATAATTATTTGCCCAAATGAATCAAACACAATTTGTAAAAAATTGAATGTTACTGAGAGATATAAAGATGAAAAATCTGATAACAAATAATAGATTTCAGCCTAGTTTTTTGTTTTCAAAAATAAAGATTTCTTTTTAATGTCTAATGTCTTCTTCATAGTGTTCTTAGGAAAAATAGAGAGGGAGAAAGAAAAAAGCTTTGTAATTAAGAAAGGCATCATCAATTTTATATTCAGAGAAAAAAATTATTCAAAGGAAAAAAAAGATTCAGTCAGTTAAGGATTAGTCATAATAAATATATTGTGTTTTAATAGTAAATTTAATTTGAGATAAAAAAGTAAAATATATCTAATTAATTTTATGAATGGTATATATTTTAAAATATTTAAAAATTTCATCCATAATTTATGAGAACTGTATTTTTTGATGTCATTGAGTTAATTTTTTTTAATTATCATTATTATTTTAAAAAATTACATTTGAGAAA